GCCGATGTCTAGCTTGCATTTGCTAGTCAGCCTTGTGCTCCCCTGGTTAGGTCGCATTCATAGACGCCACCCACACCTCCACTCTCTAGATCCCCCTCCCTTGTACGAGGCTCGGTGGCCGGGACCTAGCGACAATTGAGGTCGCAGTTATCCCGGTGTCACCACCTAGCTTAAGGCAATGCCAGCATGTGGCTGGTGAGGCCTCGATCTCCCCTCTCCTATCCTCATTGAGAACATATTACCTTCGCCTGAGGCCAGCGGGACTGGGCTAGGTTGTCGCCAGTCCTGGGATCGGCGATGTTGGATCTGGCGTCACGAACCTAGCTCGACCCGAGATCGATAGTTGCAAGGAGGGGGAAAAAGGGAGAGATGGGGGTATCGGGTCCTTGATGATGGGCCCATTCGACGGCGACGGCGACGAGGGGGTCTGGCAGTGTTGAGGACTGGCGGACGCACAGTTATGGCTGGGGGTCCAGGTTGCCTCGTTATATTGCACCATGATCGAGGGTTTGGTATCGTGCTCATCACGAGGATATGGAACCAAGGGCAAGAAGGGAAAGAAGAAAGAGGAAAAAAAAGGGAAAGAAAGAGGGAAAACAGGAAAAATGGATACCCAATTTGAGTCGCCTTATTTGCATGGTGCCCATATATTTTATATATTAAAGTGATTGTATTATCAAAATCTAAAGGAAATTAACTTTAGAAGATCCCGATTCTTGTAATAAATCACTTGTCCCCTTTATTGGACAACCTTTTAAAGGTTTCAACAACCACTTATACATGTCTCTTACGTATTACTCTTATGGTATTCTCGTGCATGAATTAGAGAGCTTTGGAGAAACCCATATCAAAACTCGAAAATAGACAAGAACGGTTTTGCACGACGGTTGAAACTCGTAAGTTGCGTGGTGGGAATCTCTTGGCGGCGGCGGTGGCGGTGGCGATGGAGGATGTCAAGGATGGTGGGTGGCGGCGTCTCTTACAATTTGTTAGTTGTGTGTTTTTGCTGCTCATGAAATAAAGTTACTTTGCTAAATTGCGCTGGACCAATATATGTGTGCGTTTGTGTGTGTATTCAGGGGTGTACTTCCTGTTGTATTCATCTATGAATTAGAAGTGATGTCATGCATCGAAAATTTGGGATTCTCCTGAAGACAATATTACCGCTTGTAATAGGAATATATAAGGGTTAATATCATGAAAAATCCAAAATTGATATACTTGCGATAATTTTATCCCGACCTAATTTTTTGATTACCAAAAGCCCTATATTGGTACATTTGTGATAATTTTATAAATTTTACTGTCAAATTGCTAAGTTTGATGACACGTAGTAGTTGACAAGTGTACCGATTTGAAGTTTTACTCCTCTGTTTGTCACAAGTTTACCAATTTGTGATTTTTCGTGATATTAATCCAATTTAATAGACACTAATAGAAGGTAAATTTGTCATAAATGTACCAGTTTAGGATTTTTAGTGGTCCAAAAATTAGTTTAGAGTAAAATTATTACAGCTATACCAGTGTGGAGTTTTTGGTAGTCAAAAAAATAGTTTGGAGATAGATATACCAATTTGAGATTTTTTGTGATAAAAAAAATAATTTGAGGTAAATTTATCGTAAATACATCAAGTTTAAAGTTTTTCGTTGTATTAACCTAATATATTATAAGCATGCGCACGCAGATGCATGGAAGTCTGCAATGATTTATGTACGCATGGTGCTATCTCATTCACTAGAGGTCTACGCATGTTTCAACCTACTTTTGCATGTACGTTTGGGTTGAAACTAGGGGTGTACAAAAAAACTGAAAATCGTCCGGACTGCTTAGAATCGGATCAGACCAGTCTAGAACCAACGGTCCCTATGAGGAATGGTCCGATTCCCGGTTCCGATTTACTGGAACCCGTGGGTATCGGTCCGATTCTCGATTCAAGGCGTGGAATTACTCACACGCTCATCCGGATCGAATCGGATCGGAATATATATTTTTTAATTTTTATGTTAAAAATTTCAAAACCCTAAAAGCTCTCTCTCTCATCTTCCCCATGTCAGTCTTTTCCCGTCACTTCTTTTCATGTCCCCACAAACACTCACACTCCCCAAGGTATGCTCTCTCTCTCTCTCTCTCTCTCCAGAGAGATGTAGGTCTTGTGGGTGCCCTATTTTTTGATCAGGCCGGCTCTGGGAACAGAGGGGAGGCGTGCTCTTGGCTGTTGGACTTGTCAATGGAGCGGTAGAAGGACTCGAGGAGTGAGGAGGAGAAAGACAGGGTGACGGGGTCTTTATTCTCTATGGGACAGTGGGTTGGGCGGTAGCTTCTTGGAGTGGTCTCTCTTGCTTGTTCATGGCGTCACATGCAGTAAGGATGCAGGAGTGGAGGAGGAAGGTTTTAAATAAAGAGAGAGGAAGCCAACCCAAATGAAAAACAGAGGAGTAGACAGCGGGGGTGTTAGTTTAAGGTGAGGGTTGTCTGCCGAGAGAAGGTCAAAAACTACAAGAGACAAACTGAAGTGAAGTGAAATCGCAAGCAAATCAAGTGGAGCAGAGCGAGGGCAAGAGGAGGAGGAAGAAAAGACAGAGTGGAGAATTTGGAGAAAAATCTATTCTTTATTTCGATTGAAAGGTGAGGAAGGGCATTGGAGGTGTAAAGGTTGCACGACACAAAAGGGAAAAAAATCTCTTCTTGAATGTCGACTAGATCGTCCTCCTCCGCCCCTCCCCACCCTTCTCTGCCTCTCCGCCAGTTCTTTGGACCCACCCAAGAGCCAGATCGGACGGTTCGATTCTCGGACTATAGAATTGACGAGGCGATTTTCGGTTTCGAAAATCGGAACCGGTCCTTAGTGGGCGGTGGAACCGGTCCTTAGTGGGCGGTTCTCAGTTCCGGCATGAAAATCATCCATTTGGACCATGCTCACCCCTAGTTGGAACGGCATAACTGGTTTTTGGTCACAAGCCTATCCAACCAAAAACCAGTTCAACCGAATTGAATCCAGGTAAATTGGAAAATTGGTTTTTAAATTCAGAAAACCGACAAAATCCTGAGGAATTAAAACTCATGAATTGCTTAAAATCTAGTAATTTTTTCCCACTGATTTGTGAAATTCTTATTTTTGGATTTCAATTAAAAGAATGCTGAGGGCATTTACAAGGAAATATTTGGGGTGGCAAAACAGGCGAGTCGGATTGATTTCGGTTCGGTTAATTTTGGGTTAGGAGTCATACACGTAGGCTCGGGTTAATTAGAATTTACAAAATCTTTAGGTGCAGATCATGTCAAATTTGCATTATTTCAGGTTTGATTTTTCCTTGATTGTTCGGATAATTCAAGGACCATTTGTGTCAAATCTGTTCAAGGTATTACACGTTTCGTGCTCTTTAGGGTATCTCTTAGTTTAGAAAACGGGCAGGTCGGATTGGTTTTGATTTTATTAAATTATGCATTTTCAAATATGGAACATTTAGGTATATGTAATTGCCTCGGGTTAGATCAGATCATCTCAACCTTGATCCATTTCGGGTTCTTTATTTTCCAAACATAAGTTGGGATTGTTTTAGTTCTTTAATTATTTCGAGTTCTCTTGAATGTCGTATAGTTCTCTTCATATATGGATCTATTTCAGTTTGCATTTTAGTATTGATTCAGCTTTCAGTGGTTTCGAATTAGACATATTTGATTTTGAACCAATGGGTCAATACTTATAAACTAATTTTGTGTATACTAATGCTATATTTATATTTACAATTTGGGTTTGCATGAATTCGGGCCACGTCGGGTTCGATTGTTTAGGATTCGAGTTTCTTCGGTTTCTGGTCGGATTGGATTGGATGAATGAAATATTAACCTTTTGTGGGGTCAGATTATTTCCGATACAGGTTGCGTTAAGTATAAATTGTTGACTTTTCTTAATCATCTCAAGTTGGGTCGGCTTAATTTTCGAAGGTCGAACAAGCATACTCCATTTGTGGTGAAGAGAGAGAGAGATGTGTTACGGGGCTGAGGCAGCCGCCTTGACGTGGTCATTTGGGCAACTAATCATGATAACATACTTGAATTTCTAAAACTTGCATTTTGTGCATTTAAATCCTAAAATTTGTTACCTTCTCCATATTAGTACACGATAGTTCTCCGTTCGTCCCCAACCCTCGCCGGTAGCAGTCTTCCCTTCTACAATCCTCATCTGAACGATCTTTCTATCAATTTTTTCTTCTTTTTCTATAATTTTTAGTTTTTTTTTTCTAGAAGCCGCGCGTCAACTCCACTCGTGTGAAAAGTGGAGGGGAAGTAACAGAAAAATGGTACACAGAATCTCCTTCCAAGAAAAAGCTTGTACGCTATAAGAAACAATGCATTCAAATGTGGACGAGAGTAACTAAGATTTCAGCAAAGACAAAACAGTCTTTTTCCGTAGAAAACTCAAAGGGGACAGTAGGTGGAACCCGCAGTCCATTTGAAACTTGTGTTCCATCTTACGCGTCTCGCAAAGACACTAACGTCCTTTGTCAAACCTTCTAGTTAAGGAATAAGGACAACTCCCTGTCGTTATTATGGTTGAAAAATTTAACTGGACAATTCAATACATTGAACATACAAGTGAAAAAGCAAATTACTTACTCGTACCGTGGATTTGGATCACATCAAACTATATCACACCTGTTGTTGTGAATAGAGGAATCGAATTCCATAAATTCACATGAAAATTGAGCTTGGACGAAGCTCATGCCCGTGTTAGAATATTTAAATAATAAAACAAACATTTATCTATGAGCTTAAACTTTTAGAATAGTCGATAATGGTTCCACAAAATCTCATATGATATCAAAACTGAAGGCCCTAAGTTCGAATATTTCTAGGACCCATTTACTTCTCTAATTAAATATTTCTATGCTTAGTATTAGGCAAAAAAAGACAATATTAAATATCTCACAACCCGTACCCTACTGAACTCCAGATTACAGAGAGAGAGAGAGAGAGAGAGAGAGAGAGAGGGGGGGGGGAGGTTCGCACTTGGAACTTGGGTGATTGCACTACATATAAGTATTCATGGGGTGCTCTTGATTTGGAGGTCGGAAAGAGAAGGAAACAAAGCATCCGAAGTCGGGATCTGCCGCCAATACCGCCGCTGCAACGACGGCAGCCACCATGTCTGCTAACGCTGGTGGTGGAGTCGCCACAGGCAAGGGCCTCGCCTGGTCTGGGTTAAAAAAAAATAAAAAAATCAATTATCGCGTTTCTCGACCTGGGTTTACCTGATTTTCCTGCGCGGTCTTCCAAACTTGGACGGCATTTTTGACGTTGACCAATTCCCTGGTCATTATGCAGTTCAGGACCGTGTTTATTATTCCTGTGTTATACTAGTCAAAGTATTGTTGCGTGTCCTAGATAATAGCCTTTCCTTGTAAGATAAGTTTACCTATACATGTCCGTGACTAGCGAGGAAACGCCATGAGTTTATCTATCCAAACACCGGCCCAGAAGATTTCTCTCAAACGCATGAGCTATCGGGAGTATTTGAGCTAACATAGGAAAAATGAAACCGTGGGCAGTCATAATAATAGTTTGGGCTGTCTTAGTCGCCATATCTGTTTTCGTACGCCTTCTCTGGCGAGGTGGACAGGGAGACGGCGGCAGATTTGGTGGTGGAGGCGGCGGTGGAGTTGGAGGAGGAGATGGAGGTTCTGCTTGTGGCGGAGGCGGAGACGACGGCGGAGGTGGAGGTGGGGGCTGCTTGCGGTGGCGGAGGTGGAGGTGGGGGCTGTGGCGGCGGCGGCGGAGGTGGAGGTGGGGGCTGTGGCGGCGGTGGCGGAGGTGGGGGCGGTGGCGGAGGCGGAGGAGCTGGTGCCTGTTGATATTGTTTTGGGAAATGATATGTATTAAATTTAAGCTCGCGATTTAAATATAGAGAAAACAGTTTGTATCTTAACACGTATTGCAAATTTGTATGTTTACACTTCCTCTCATCTTTTATGTTTTCCTGTCTCCAGTTATTTGTTATAATTGGCAAAACCTTGAAAATTTGGTTGAATCATGAATTGATAAGATCATATCATTAAGTGGTCCGATTATTATGGAAATTACATGTACATTAATGCGAAAGTTGAGGAGAAACTAATGGATAAACAATCTCGAGCATTGATCTTAAGATTATACATGAAACCGGTTCTCTCTGTTTCTAACAACACACCGAAAATTTCATCTAAATTGTGAATTTAAGAATCGTGAGTAGAGAGAAATCGGTTTTTTTTTCAAATGCAGCATCTTCTACGCATCCAGGTACCTTTTTTTATTTTCTATAATGCTTTCATGGAAATGCTCAGTTTTCAAGATCTGAACTTTTATGTTATCTGATGAGATAATTCTAAGAAGTGGTAACAGAGACTTGATTTTGAAAACTAGATATTTTTTGAATAAATGTTCTTACCAGATTTATGTTTTCTCTTCATTGGGTGTTTGAATGCTTTCTGCCATTTTCGTTGCCATTTTCTAAGGGGAAAAATACCAAAACAGTCTTAAATCTATTGCAATTGTGCCAATTTTGGCCAACCAACGGCTGACGTGATAATTTTTTAATATTGTTTTTTTGAATTTTTTTATTTTCTTTTTCCTTTCTTTTTATTTTTCCCCTTTTTTTTTTCATCTTCAACCTTTGGCCGGCGAGGTCAGCCCCACTGGCTGCTGGTGAGGCCAACCTCGCCAGCGACGGTGATGCTCGTTCTCACTGTTGTTGGAGCCTCGCCGTCGCTGGCGAGGTCCGCCTCGCCCGCCCCTAGTGAGGCCGACCTCGCCCAACCCCTGGCAAGGCTCGACCTCGTCGTTGCTGGGCGAGGTTGACCTCGCAAGTTGCTGGCGAGTTCAAGCCTTGCCAGATCTGGCGAGGTTGGCCCCGCCGGCCGCTGGCGAGGACGAGCCCTTGCCAGATCTGGCGATGCTCGAACTCACCGACAACTAACGAGGTCGAGCCTCACTAAGGGCTGGACGAGGCCGACCTTGCTAGTTGCCTGCGAGGCTCGGCCTCGCCTAGGAATGGCAAGATCAAACCTCATTAGGGGCGGGCGAGACCGACCTCGCCAGTTGCCGGCGAGGACGAGCCTTGCCATTGCCGGTGAGGTTGGCCACCCTAGCGGTCGGTGAGGCCGACTTCGCCGGCGCCTGCCTCTGGCCGGTCGTCGGACAGGCAACCGGCCAGAGGTTGAAGATGAAGATGAAGAAAAAAAAAAAAAGGGAAAAAGAAAAGGAAAGGAAAAAGAAAAGAAAAGAAAACATTTATAAAATTTATAAAAATTTGAAAAAATAATATTAAAAATTGTCACCTTAGCGTTGGCCGGCCGACCGGCATCTACGTCAGCGCCAGCTAGAAAAATTGGTCGGATGGACTGAATTGGCACAAATGTAAAAAGTTTAGGACTGAATTGGCACAAAAAATGTTTAGAATTGAATTGATACAATTGCAATAGGCTTATGACTGTTTTGGTAATTTTCCCATTTTCTAAGTGCAAAAATGTATCAATCGTGGTGGAAAAGTAGAGAAGAAGAAGAAGAACAGACAAACAAAGTATAAGTACTTATAGTTTTTATAGGAAAGTTTAGTCACTATTATCTTGATGAATGTCGTCTAATTAATCACCGTCCTGTCCGACATTTAGCTTTGACCAGAATTGTGGTGCAAATTACTCAATCAAAAAGCCTAGGATACATATGATAATGATTGTTATCCTGAATTATAATCTAAATCTTTAGTTTAGTGGTTTCGAAGTTACTGGTTGTCTGTTACATTGAAATTATATAATGACGATTTATATTAAACTATAATGACTTATAATTATTGTGTTATTTATATGCGTGTATTGTTATTATAGCTTGACAGTCACCAAAGTTACCAAATTGGAATGTCTTAACGAAAGGTTAAGAAAAAAATATAAGAATATCGTCTCACCATTTGGGTTTGATTGATTTTCTTGCCTAGTTTTCCAAGCTTGGAACGCATTTTTGACTTTGACAACTTACATATGATCATAATGCAATTCAGGACTGTGTTTTACTCTCTCCTTCCACATGTAAATGTTCAACTTCAGAAGCGTAGTTCTAATACCACTTGTTGAGTTGCGGAAGTGCGACTCTCATATCAATTATTGAGGAAGACACACAGGCTCCCTTCAAGAAAACACTCTTATTAGTGGAGGCACTTTCGTACAATGTTGATTGGGACAACTCTTATACACACACACTTGTGTGCCAATCACCCTCTCACCTTCTCACTTATGGGAGCTAAGAGCTCCCTCACGCTCTTACATGGATGCCAAGCTCAAGCTCCACAAATGAAGGTGCTTGGGTATTCATAGGTCTAAAGAGGTGGTTATACCTCCTAAAATATCTAGATATTTCTAGTCAAATAACTTCCTAAAAGTATCCTGCAAATGTCCTAGATGTTTCTAGATAATGTCTTCCTAAAGATATCTCGATAACATCTCCCTAGATATTTTTAGAGAAAAAAATATAGATATTTCTATCTTTCTCTAGATAATTCTAGAGAAAATATCTTCCTAGTTATTTCTACACTCTTCATTAAATATCTTTCAACAATATATCTAGGTATTTAGATAACCCAGAAATATCTAAAATTCTCGAGACAAGAGAGGAGGTGCATTTATTCAACACTCACCCTCATCAACTACTCTTCTCTCAATGCAGGTCTCGTCAACATGCGAAGTTGCCTTCTGAAATTCCTCAGCTTACTTTGGTGCTCCTTCTTGGCTGTACCCGCTTTCAGTGCTACTAACCTGATTTAACGGTGTCTGCTCTAGCTTCAACTGGCTCTACTACTGCGTCTTTCGACTAAGCTTTGTGAAGCTCAAATGTCAAAAACGCCAGTTCGACCTGTGCTTTAGTTGCTTTTTCCTTCATCTCACTTAACTTTGCCTTCGTTATCTGCCACTATTTTGTAAGACCTTTGAGATCGCAGCTCATATGGCCAGGTCTTTCACTAGCGGTTTTCACTTCGTACTTCAACCGATTCAATCCCTTCTGAAGCACTAAGCACTTCATCGTAGGCATCTTGGTCCTTTTTTTGTTATAGGACTTCTTCTCCTCACTCTTATTCCATCGATCCTTACAACATTGGATGTAAGATGGAAACGGCTTCTTTTTCTCATGGCAACCTTTCTTTTTCCCTTTCTCGTGTTCTCTATCCTCATTGAACTTCTATAGTTTCCTGAGCTCACACTAAAGCTTCTCGTGCTCCCTTTCTTTTATCTTGAGCTCCTTGTCTATCTTCGCCTTCTTGATTCTCGGCTTCTTCATCATCTCCCGCATCTTCTGCAGCTCCTTCTAAAGGCTCCATGTTAGCACCACCACTTGCTTCTTCGAGTTTCCCCTTGCTTGCTCTTCTTCTTCAAGGACATGACAAAGGTTGTCGCATCATTTGACTTGGTGATAGAGGAGGCTGCGATCTCTTCTTTTTGCTCCTCTACTGCAATTGCCGCTTGGAAGTCCCTCTCTTCTTCAGTGTCAATCACCTTCGGGATAGTAGTTGCGGCATTTCCTTCTATCTACCTGAATTGACAGACTCTGGCAAAGTGTCCTACTTTACAACAGATGTAGCATCGTCCGCTATGCTTGCTATTGCTTTCATCATCACAGTCATCCTTGTCCCAGCCCCGGTAAGCTCCCCCTGGCTGAGTGCTCCTCCCTTCTGGTCGCCCCCGCTAGTCTCCATTACTTTTCTTTTGCTTGCCATCTCTAGTGCCAGCACCATTTCTACTCTGGCTCTTGAACCCTCCTTTATTACTAAAGAAGGCGCTTTCATCATCCTTGACCGAGACCTAAGACATCTATTTGTCTAAAGCCTCTTAGTTGACCAATATATTTTCCAACTTAATCAGAGTTGGGTCTTTTGCACATCCTCGAGTGGCTGTAACAATGCCTTTGTACTCTGACCTTAACTCATGAATGATAATTCTTCTCATCTTTATCTCAGAGATGGCATTTTTAGGATCTAACTTTGAATTTCTTCACAAATGGATTTAACTTTGTAGAAGTATTGACTTATTGTCATATTTTATTGTGACGCTAACAATAGCTCGTTCTCCAACCTTTGCAATTTGGCACCGTTTGTCCTCGCGAACAGTGTCGCTAAGTTGTCCCATGCCTCCTCTAGAATTTTTGCTCTCTTGATGTGCTGTAACAACTCATTTTCAACAATGACGGCAAGAATGTATAGATCCTTACTCTCTTTGATGTTCAATTTTCTTAACTCGCCATTGTTCATGGGTGGTGTGGTGTTGCCACCGCTAGTGATATCTCACAAGTCTTGACCCAGCAGATAATATTGTATGTGGATACTCCAATTATTATAATTGGAGTTGTAGAGCTTCTCGACTCCTCTTGCCAAACTTGGGAAGTTCACCATCATGACTTGGTTATAATGCCTAATACTATACCAAGTAAGCTTGGTCTCATATCAACCAACTTCACAGTCTCTAACTTGTGCACTAGCAGAACTCCGGCGTACTCTGGTTTCTGACTTGTTGAGTTGTGGAAGCACGACTCTAATATCAATTATTGAGGAAGATGCACAAGGCTCACTTCAAGAAAACACTCATATTAATTGAGGCACTCTCTTGCAATATTGTTTGGGGCAACTCTTACACACACTTGTACAAGTGTGCCAAGCACACTCTCACACTCTCACTTATGGGAGCTAAGCTCACTCACACACTTTTATATGGATGCCAAGCTCAAGCTCCACAAATGAGGGTGCTTGGGTATTTATAGGTCCAAGGAACTGGTTATGCCTCCTAAAATATGTAGATATTTCGAGTAAAATATCTTCCTAGAAGTAGGAAGATATCCTGGAAATATCCTAGATGTTTATAGATAATGTCTCCCTAGAATATCTAGATAGCATCTCCCTAGATATTTCTTGAGAAACCATGTCTATAGATATTTCTATCTTTC